GCCCGAATTTAAATGTTTGCACGATCATGTGAGTGGCGACAAAAAAAAATGAGGATGCGCGAAACGCCATCCGGATATGTATAATAGCCCAGCGGTTCCTATGTGTGTGCGTATGCGAAGTAAAAAATTTTTCGGCTTTTTATAATGGCGAACGATTACACGATTATAAGCGTAGAGAGCGAGAGAGAGTTGAGATGGCGCAAAAAAAGACAAACGGTTTTTTTACTCGGTTCACGTCGCGCTACTACTACACGATGTTAATGTAACAACGATACCCGCAACTCGCGCGTTTATAATACCTACGAGATATTCTCGTTCGGAGCCCAATGAGATGCGCTAGAGAAGCAAAATTTTATTCTCCTTTCAAATTCATAATTTTGCATATGATGCAAGTGTGGCCTGACTGTGTTACACAGAACTCGATCCGCTGCCGTGGGTACAATAGCGCAGAAAACACGCGCGACGAACGAATTCCTAAGCTCAGCGGCTGCGGCATCGCTACTACTGCTGCTGGCGACGACCGAAGGCAGGAAAAAATCCTATCGTTAATTAAGACTTTGAAGGCATATCGTCGTTACAAAAGGGAAAATCCATCTAATTTCACACCGTCACGCTGTGAAAATGGCAAGCTCGAGCTACGCTGTGCGTCATACCGGGCTAGAGGAGATTCATAAGAGAGAAAATCTATCTTATTTTCTTTCCGCTTCTTATCTCTTTTCTTACAAGCTTGTGGCTTATAATATACCAAATGGAGAAGAAAAAAAAGTGCCAGAGTAAGAGAGAGAGAAGAAAAGAGAGGAACGAGCCGATGCAGCAGCAGCGAGACCGCAAAAACGAATATAATCCTCGGTAGCAAGAGCAGAGCAAATCGATCTTACACTCGTTCTCGACGTTCGCAAAAGTATATAGTTATACAGCGAAGTTGGCGGAGGCCGGAAGCTGGGTCAGAGAAAAAGGCGCGGTAATTGCTGCTCAGCATCTATACGTGCACGCCTATATATACACGTATAGGGTATCTCTCTCTCTCTCTTCATTGTTACACACGAAAATGAGCTTGCACTTCGCGAAAGAGAATGACGTAAGCTAAGAAGTTTTCACCGTGCCGCGCGCGGAGCAGCAGCAACGGCTAGCAACAGCAACATCGTCGACACGCTTCGATGTCTTCTGTATATATACCGATCCCCGTCGTCGTCGTCGGCCCCGGAATCGGATGCGCGCGTTGACGTGTTGTCGTCGTAGTCGTTGTCGTCTACGTCACAGCAGCAGCAGCAGCAGCAGCAGCAGTGGTAGTCCGTCCGTCGGATGGAAGGAAACTTTGTATGCGCACGAGTCAAAACTTGAGCGGTACTAGGCGCGCGTAGACACGATCGCAATGAAATGCGAAAATATTTTTCGGGTTAAAGAGCAGCTACTGGAAGAGTTTCGGTGTGTCGTCGACATACTGTATGCATGTATTCGCGAGCGAGTGACTCGATGCTTTTCGGCAGAAGCGGAAATTGTGCGGCTTTTTTTTTTCTTTCTCTCTGACTCTTGCTCTCTTTCGATTTATTATTAATGCGCCTCCGAACGAGTGTACACGAGAAATCGATACACCACTACTCGACGCGTTAAGTGGTCGACCGTGTGCACCGTATAGCGATCTTTGATCCGCGCGCCGGACCGTCGGATCGGTATAGATATGAGTGCTATAAAATGTATACTTGCACTTGGATCGAGACGACGACGCGCAGAGCAAACAAAAAGTGCACTAAACGCCGCTTCGAGAAAAATCGCTTGGCTCACACACACGCAAATCGTCCAACCGAACGTATCATTACAAAACTTTGTCGCTAGTAGCTCGATCGACTTATATACTCGCATGCGTGTGAGCCGAGCGAGCTCGAGTCGCGTTGAAACGTTTGTGTAGCGTGCATTTTTCTCTCCTAGCTCAATCTCTGTCTCCGACGTTTAACCACCATAGGCTGCACTGCGTAGCGTATCAAGCCAGCCCGATCGCGGCTAATAAGCAACAATCTGCGCGAAATTAATGGAAACAGGCGCGCGTCTCATTAAATACCATAGCGGACTAATCACACTTGTATACACCGGCGGCGGTCGCTCGATCGATCGATCCCAGAGAGTATATTATAAATGTGTGTATACGCTCGGCCACTCTGTGTACACTTATATTATCGTATAGCCATAGCAGCAGCAGCAGCAGGTTGATTAGATGACTGATTTGAAAAGTATTTTAATTAGACTCCAGGGGTATCTGCTCTTGCTCATTGAATACATTATCAATGTCGAGCGAGCTCTTGGATTCGAGCATATAAATGCGTGCACGTGTCTGTGTGTGCATATTCAACTACACAGACAGGCAGATCGTCGCGTTTTACGCGGGGGAGGGAGAATCGAGTCTCTCGTGTCATTGGGTGAATCAATCAAGCATCCGCCCATCGAGAGAGAAAGCCAATTCTCGCATCATCGTGCGTGCGTACGCGGGGCACAAAAAAAAAAACGTCCCCTCCGCGAGAGGAGAGGAGGAGAGGAGCAGGAGGCGGAGGACTCGGAGGAGGAGAAGGCGGAGGACAACGATGGCCATCGCAAATGCGCATTTAACGAAAATGAAAATAAAAGAAAAGAGAGAAGGCAAGAGACGTTAATTTGGATTTCTAAATAGCCCTCTCCGAAACGTCAAGTTCGTTATTCAAATATGAGAAAAAACTTGGAAGACAAGGCAAGGGCAATAAAAAAAAAGGTGAAAAAAAAACGACACAACCGAGTTCAAGAGAGAGTGAGTGAGACGGGAGGTAAACGAGACTCTAATGAATCAATCTCCCTTGTATATCGCATAGTAGCGCGCGTATATTATATATACTACCCCCTTTCTTTTTTCTCCTCGGCACACACACTCACACACACATAGACATATGTAAGTAATATCTGGCACGCATGAAACTCGGGCCCGAGCAAATATCTGCATTATTTAAGAAGGTGCATTATTCGGGCTCGATGTCGCTCATGCGCCGCTTATCGGATATACATCTTATATCGGCGAGTTATGCGTGCAGCTCGTTAAAATAACGCGCGCCACGACGTACACGTATACGCGTATTATACACACTTTTCATATAATAGCCGTGGTAAGGCTCATAATGTATCCAGCATTAATTAATTCGGTCGAAGGTCTCGTTGCTGCTGTACATTACACCGAGTGCCAACGAATACGACGGCGACGAATTTCTCAAGACAAGCAAGAGTGTATACGCACAGGAGCAGAGACAACGGGCTAAAGGATAATATTAACGCTTCTCCGCAGGGCCGAGGCGGAGGGGGTGTAAGGCTCGCGGTTTGTCTATGATTTATCGGTGTCGCGCGAGCGAGAGAGATGCCACTGCTGCTGCTGCTGCTGCTGCTGCTGTTCAGCGCGGCGCATACTTTACATTATACATCCGTACTGCTCCGTATCTTCCAAAAAGGATGAGGAATTTATTAACTCCAACGCAGCTCATCGAGTCGGCTGCTGCTACCCCTGCAGCTCGGTATAAGACGTGCGGTGGTGGTTGTTGCTGTTGTTGATTAATAGCTGCGCCTCGGATATTCGCGAGTGATTAAAACGATGACGGCTATTATGCTCGACCTAACGCTTTATAATATAACTCGGGCCTCGTTCTCTCTTTGAATATTATATCAAATTTGCGGCTGCAGAGAGCCACGTCGATTATTATTTCTTTTGCCAGGCAACGCGTGCGAGAAAACGAGGAAAGAGCGCAGTGCTAAGCTGACTGGGATGACTAATTAGTCGAGACGACGACGGCAGAATCTTTGCGTGTGTATAATATCGGTCAACGAGAGTCGCACGTAGGCTCGAGCTTCTTCTTATACACAAATTAATCGTTTACAGATATACACGCAATTTCATACATTATCTCGAAACGTATGCGAAACGTGTGAGACAAGCTCGTGTCAAACGACAACGACTCTCGACTTGTGCCGGCCGACGAAAATGCTCTGCTTATGGCACACTCGTGTTCGCATGTGCGCAATCGTGCAGCTACTGGTGTTGCACGAGTTTAGTTGGTAGCCGATAAGGCGACGTTGTCGAGCCGGCCAATTCCCAGCCGCACGCGAAACGTTTGCTCGTTTCTCTCTCTCTCTCTGTGTTTCTTTTCCTATCAGTATGACTCGCGAAGGCAGAGCATGTCTCGCGTCGATAAATTAAGTTTCCCCGGGCTCTCGCGTTTTTTTACACAACGTCTGCATCAGATATTATACATGCTTTGTACATGTATACATAGTAGTGGTTGCATGCATACACCGAGCCCCCGACACATATGAGCGTCTGTGCGCGACTAGAGAGATCCGTTGTTGCAGGCTCATAATATTGTAAAGTACACACGAACGACTCTTAACGGCGTTAACGACTGAGACCAAGTCGGAGGAAGGAGCTCCGAGTCCGTTGCTTTATAAACGCCTATATATGCACTTTTGGACGCATCGTTATAATTTCTAGGCGGGTGAAAAGTTGACGAATTCTGACCTCTTTTTTATCAATCACCGATTCAACCGAGTGCGTACGTGAAAATGTAACTCGCACTCGAGCACAAGATAAGAGTCGAGGAAAAAATTCAACCAAGACTCGCGCTTTGCTCATTGCTTACAAATCGAACCAAACGCGGGACACGCATATAATGCGCGCGTAGCGTACGTGCCGCTGTTTATTACACAAAAACGGCATGCGCGCACATTCATTGATCCACATAAATTCGCATAGCTGCGAGACTCGTATATATATGTACGTACGCGAGCACAGATTTATATAAATTTTTGTCATTGCTGCGGGAGAACGAGATTCGCGACGACGACGACGACAAAAATAGTCGTAAATCGCGTGCGCGTACTTATTGCCGCGCGCAATAGTTCTAGGAGAGCGAGAGCGCAGAAAAACACACTTCGCAGAGGAGAAATAGACATATCTTAATATAATTATAGAAAAGGCATGCACGATTTATAAGACTCACCTAACGAACAGTTGCTCCTGATTATTGACTCTCCATGATACCACGGTTGCTCCTGCAATTAGGAAAACAAGTTGATATGTAATTAAAGATATATATCGGAGATCGATACATACACACATATTGGAAAATCGCGAAGTTAATCGCGGCTGCAGCTACGACCGGCATCGCCTCTAACGTATTATATATTATATATAGTATATATTTCTCAACCGAATTTTCCCCCCTGATTGAAAAAAAATTATTTTCACTTGTATGTATCTCACGCGCTCTGTGTATACTCGTATGTGGCTATGTGATAAACGCACAAGTAGAGACAGAGAGAGAGAGAGAGAGACAAAAAATGCAATAGCTGCGACGTAGCAATTAATCCGCGATAAAATGAAACTGATAAAGCTGTGGCGATGTCGCGCGCGCGCGTGAAAATTAGCATACGGCCAGTGTGTGTGGCATGTGCTGCGACGACGAGTGCGAGAGAACAGAGAGAGAAAGAGAGAGAACGAGATCGAATAAGCGCAGGCAGGGTGACATCGATACTCGATGCACAGCGCAGCACATACGGATAGACGTTCAACGCGAGAGAGCAAAAGAGACTTTTTGTCGATTATCGGCGGCCGCCGCACTACTATTCGTCTCTAACGCGCAAAACTCGTTTGAATGTTACACATTCACACACAGATGGATACGGTGTGTGACGCGCTAATAACCTGCAGCCGTAGGAGCGCATCAACGACGATTCAATGACGGCGCTATTTGACCGATGCGCTCGCCGTATCATTAATGTGTAAGTGTGCGTGCATAAGCGACACGTTTATAACCCTGTATATTATAAACGTAACGAGCGCAATCGAGAAAGCCACACACGCATCTAACAACGAAACGATCATAAAGAAGAGAGTAATAGTACGAAAATAATTTCTAAAACCGTCGCGATAATTTACAGCCACACGCGCGTTTACATAGAGAGAGAGAGATGCAATGTTACATAGGTGGTAAGGGGGTTGTTGCGCAAAGACAAAAAAAGGAACGACGATGACGACGGAAAAATATAATAATAAAGTTTATCGGTGCAATTTGTTCGCGCGTGCTCGCGACAACGTTCTTAATTATATATGCCTGTACGCGCGAGCGGCGGAGTCTCTCAGCGCGCGGCGCTCGAGCGAGAGAGAGATATCCTTTTTTTTTCTTTTTCTTCTTATTTTATTTTTTTTTATTTTACGAGTATCTTTCAAGCTCGAGCGAATAGAGATGCTATTTAGAAATCATTCGCGAAACACGTGTATATCCTCGACGGCTTATATTTATAATATTTAACTAAATACACACGCGGACACACACACACACACATACACACGATATACACACGCACATAGCTACAGATAAATCACTGACGAAACTCTTATAATAAATGACACTTTACGCTCGACTTGGTTTCTTATAACTCGGCGCGCATGGCTATGTACGAGTGTGTATGTGCGTGCTGTAGTATAGACTGTTGCTGCGGAGACGGACGTGACACTTGTAGTTTGCGCTATTTCGCGAGGGCAAAAGTCAAGGAAAGAGACCGGAGGAGAGCTGGTGTATGCTTATATGTGTACGCGAGAGAGAGAGGCAGAAACCTGTGCACCGCCGCGTGTTTATACCGTGTGCTGTGACTTTCTTAAATGATTCGACGCGGCCCACTTTTCTGACTAATTGTTACCATTATATTGGCACAACAGCAGCAGCAGCAGCAGCAGCAGTACAAACGTTCACACGCACATTTGGAACAACACTCGCGACAAAGATATGATTCGCCGTGGAGAACAGGTTGATTATCGGGTATCGATGTAGAGAGTATCGCCGTCGCAAGAGGAAAATCGCAGAAACCGGCGACGAGCGAAACTACCCTACCGCAACAGTAGTATAGCAGCACGCGCCCGGCGGCGGCGGCCGCCACCGCAACAGCAGCACGCGAGCGAGCGAGCCGGTCTCTCCTCTTTCTCTCTCGTTTGCACTATATAGCGCGGACTCAACGGAGTCTCGTTCTCTTCTGACTCGCGCGCGCAAAGCAGCCTCGGAGCCGATTTCCCAACAACCCTCGCTGCTCGAGATCGCTGGCAGAAAAAAAGGAAGGATTTTCCAAAGCCGCGCGATAATTGACTCGTCGGCAGCCGGCGCGTTGATCGCTGATCGCGTACACACATATCAAGAACAGACGGACACAGCGAGTCGGCTTATAATTGCGCTGTTTTTCAAGCGATCGAGCGATTATCAAAGAAGCGGAAAACACAAGATCGTATTTATTGGTTGTTGCCGTCGGCCGAGCGGCACAACAAGAGATGTAGATTGTGTTGCACTGTGTGAAATTGGGCACGATTCGCGCGCGCAAGCGTTAAAAGACGATCGGCGCTCCGATTTTTCGGCCGAGAGACAGCGCACGGTTAACGACGGAGGAAAAAAATCGCTTGATCGCGTTCGCGCACAGAAAAAACTGGCCGTGTATAAGAAACAATAAAAAAACGACGATAACGAAAAAAAGCCTTGAATGAATTAACGCACCGTGTAAGTTGATGGTACAAGTGGTATTGTTGCCCCTGTCGAGCACCACCACGCTGGTAGCCGCTGCCATGGTTTTGTTTTTTTGTTTTCTTTTTCGATCAATGCACCGATCGTTGACACACTGTTTTATTGTATTAAAAGTCAAGTAGACAAGACGTTGTATTATAACAGCACTGTACAGAGCCCACACGTTGTTTTTTTAACGATGTATTAATTTGCGTTATATATACGAGCGGAGAAGAGCGCAGCACTACCGAATGATCCGACTGCTTGGCGCGCGTGCGAGAGTCTGCAGCAGGTCTCGCTCTCTGTGTGTGTTTCTCTCTCTGTCACTTGGCTGCTTCTGTCTTGCCGCTTGAGCGAGAGCCAATGCGGAGATATTGCTGTACGGAGCAGCAGCGGCGAGCCGCGCACCAGCCAGCCACAAGAGTGGAACTATATAGTCTCTCTCCGCAAATGTGTGTTACGTATGTGTGCGAACCTATACAAGTGTAGTCTCCTCGGGTTGCACGCGAGAGAGCATGGAGTAAAAGCACCTACTAAAGCGCCGAGGATAATTTTTCCCCGCGATACGGAGGGGCGCTGCGGCTCGGTCGCACAGCGCTGCGAATTCTTCGCAGCCAATCCCGAGTGCCGCGCTGCGGCGGCCCGAAAACTCGCGAGCATGTGTGCGTGTGTACGCTGGCGCGAAATTTCGAAAGGATGCGAGCAAAACTTTTGCGGCCGCGGATCGCCGATGGAAGGCGCGCAGCCAAACGAGATGCACGAGGTTTTCTATATTAAAGTCGGTGTGTGTGTGTGTGTGAGCGTTAAGACGTCGGCTGTGTTAGTAGCATGGGTGCATCGATCAATCGACTCTCCGTTGCGCGAATACGTTTTTCAGACGTTCACGAAAAAATAATAATTAATTGGATACTAAGAAAAATGAAATAATTGAATGAATTATTGCAACTCAGTCGATTACGTACATTAATCTCTATATTACGCGTTGAATGAATCTCGCGCTGAAATTCTAGCCTTCCAAAAAAATCTGGAAAATCGATTTCCCAAAAAATTAAAATAAATTTATTATACATGGGTCAAAATAATACTTCTTTAAATTTTCGTCTGCAGGTATGTCCCCGATTTTGACGTACTTTTGGTATGTTATAGTACATAATAAAAAAGTGCCAAAACCAAAATTTTGGACTCCCTCCTCCCCTATAAACGTCCATTTTCTATCTATATTTTTTCTGAAGCCCTGAAGCAAATACAAAATCTGAAAAAATTCACGAAGGTACTTTTCAACGAGTAATTTAAAAAAAAGAGCTCTCCACGATTTTTTTAACGCCCTGTAGGTCGATTTGGAGGTGCCATTTACAGTACGTAAATCCTTCGTTTAGCTGAAATCAACACGATTTTCTGGGTATTTTGAGTACACAAATTGACCTACAGGGCGTAAAAAAATCGTAAAGAGCTCTATTTTTTTTAAATTACTCGTTGAAAAGAGTACTTTGCGATGATGTATGTTAAATTTCCATAAAAAAATTACTGTAGTCCCTGGACACGTTTAAACATTATGGTCAGTATGGTATTAATGGTCAAATAAACAATAAATGATCTTTTCAAATAATTTAAAATACATTTTATGAGTCAAAAATAACAATTTCATTATTTTATATTTGGACGAGTTCTTAAATACTTTAGATACAGCAATACCACTTTAATATTAATTTATTACCGTAAAAACCACTTTAAGCATCCACCACTAGATGGCAAGTACTTTCATTTGTGAATCTGCAAATGGTAAAGTGAATGAAATTGTATAAGTCAAAGCCTAGAACTCTGGAACAGTTAGTCTCTTCATCAGAAATTAATAGGTTCAATGAAAAATTGACATTTTTACTTTATACTCTTTGAAAAATTTATTATTTCATAGAACTTGCCGATAATACAGATATTAATGATAAAGAAGTCGTCAACGTCTGTAAAAAATAAATGATTTCATTAACACTTTGAACAAAAGATTGATCCAACTAACAGAAAACTCACTTCTCCAAAAGTTCTCATGCAAAGAAGGCTTAGAATCATAATTGATATTTTCTATGTTTATGATTTTGGCACTAGTTTTTCTGAAAAAATGCTGTTTTTGGCGGAATTTACCCTTAAAAAAAAATTGGGCATGATTTTTTAAAATTTTTAGAGGTTTTGTTCTAGAGAAAGTTGTAATGATTAGAAAGAGATATTAAACATAAAGATCGGACTTCTAGTTTTTTCTCAATCGCTGGCAAGAGCTGAAAAAAAGTAGTAATGAGAAAAACGCGTCCGAAGTTTTGTTCTGGACATTTCGAGCACGCTAGACACTTTGCATAATCGGGCATAACCTTTTTTCCTTTATGAATTTCGTTCTAAAATTTTAACAGGGTATTTTTATTATGTTAAAGAACTGTTTAATTTTAAAAAAATGCATCGATTTTTTTTTCATTTTCAATGGGAACGTCCCCTAAATGCGTTTTCCACTAACTATAAAAATTTGAATTTTTTACTGAAGCTTCAAATAATATTTCTTGATTGATTTATTATTCTACCTTTCGAACATACAATTTTTGAAAAAATGTTTTGACGAAAATCAAAGTTATTTTAGAAAGCTGCCATTTCCGTAAATTTCACTTTTGAGCTTAAATCCCAAGAAGCTTTGATAAAATTCTCTATCTTAAATGGGATGTTCATTTTTTGTTTTAAGTGTCATAGGAGCCGAGATAAGCGTCTGTTAGTCAAAAAACGTTTCTTTGCAAATTTGGAATATCAGACATTTTAAAATGAAATAAATAAGAAAATCATTTTTGAGTACTTTGAAACACTTTTTTTAGTCCTCATAGTTGCAAGTGGAATCACCAATCGTGACGTGTGCGAAAAATTCTCGGATATTGACATTTTTGAAAAATCCTGGATTGGTTGTACCGCTTAAGCTTCCATCACTAGATGACAAGTATATTTATCGGAAAATCTGCAATTGTAGAAGTACATGTAATTGTGAAGACCAGTTATTATCTTTTTTCTGTCCTAATTGATTAGTATATTTCCAGTGCTAATGATCATTTTATGTCCAAAAAACTTGATCAAAAACTAAGCATATGTCAGGCATTTCTACTAGGTTCATAAACTCTTTTATTGAGAAATTTATAAGTACAATGCGAAAATGACATTGTTATTTTATATTCTCTGGGAATATATTACCTCTTAGATTTTAAAAATTAAAACGTTCACCAGTCATTTTGTTAAAATAAAATAAAAAGTAAATCTTGTGAAGGTCATTCCTTTCTTACTTCAGTAATAGCAACAGCCAAAAATAATAATATAACAATAAAAATTATTCCATTAATTATTATATTGTTTTGATTAATATTAATGTTTTGATATGTTTTTAATTTGGTTTGACTGATGGTTTTGTTTAAGTAACAAAGGTATAACCATCACAAGATTCGTGCATTTAAGGGGACACACCTGTGTTTATACCTATAAATGAAAAACATGAAAATTAAGGATTACTATTACAATTTTTTGTTTCTGATGTAAAAATATTTTTTTATTACAAAACTTTTGAGATCGCAAGGATCCGGATTGGTAAAAAATTGCATTCAAAATCATGCGGTCAATGACTTAGAAATCAGAAGTCAATGTACATGTTTGATGGATGATTGTTAATAATAAGAGGAGCTCCAGACATATTTCTTGTTGTAAAAGGACCTATAAAAACATATTTTTACATCAGAAACAAAAAATTGTAATAGTAATCCTTAATTTTCATGTTTTTCATTTATAGGCATAAACACAGGTGTGTACCATTAAATTTGACTTCTTAGATTATTGCCGATAATAAGGATATAAATGATAAAGAAGCCTTCAACGTCTGTAAAAAATAAATAATTTCATTAAGACTTTTAACAAAAGATTGATTCAACTAACAGATAACTCACTTCACCAAAAGTTCTCATGCAAAGAGGGCTTAATTTCCAAGAAGTTAAAAAACATGGGCTAAGTGATCTAGTGGATGCTATTAATATCAATCGTTTAGATTTTCGTGAAAATGCGTACCATTTGCAACTAAAACTGTAGTAAAAAAGCATATAGATCTCTTGAATTGAAAATATCTAATTCATAAAAACTTGAAACGATCTATACTTACATTTTGAAATGAATTTCGGAACTGCTGTCAGTAATTTTTTGTCCTGGCAAATTACAATACCATAAAACTAAAAGGCTACCCATGGAATAAGTGAAAAAACGCATTCTATTAATCAAATTGTGCTCCAAATATAACTGTTATTTAAAACCAATACAAGTTTATGACTTTTTTTACATTTATGTTTGTTATAATTGAAAATTAAATATTACATATAAATAGGAGACGGCCAAAGAAAGGCGCAAAGACAAAACTATGAACATATTACACAAATTAAAAGTATCTTCCATAAGTTCAACGCATCTAAAAATTTTCATATTAATTTTAGTTCTTCAAAGTAAATATACACAATCAAAAAATCATATCAACCTTATGCCGTCATTAAACAATTTCACGGCGCTTGATAGTTTTAAATATGTGTTTAATTCTTTGTCACCGCAATGATCTAGATCTCCATCGATTTCCGCATTTTCAAACCGATCGCTTTTGAATAAAGGTATGTTTCACATTAAAATATTTTTGGAAGTTTTTAAAGTCCTTACCATACGATTTTGAAAAAACCATTAATTTGTTCCGTCGACGTTATATACAGAAATTCAATGCCAGGATGAAGAGTCGAAAGCAATGCGCACAACAACATATATAACCAACAAATTTCATAATGGTAATCTTCTTGAGAAAACCATATGAAATGGCCATGGTAAGGCACCAATCTCTCTCTTGTACCGTTCGATAAAGGTACAATAATATCCAAGACAGGCGGCACGAACGAAACAATGCTATGAAACATAAACGCTGATACTATATAAACTATGTGAAATAAAAGTCAATCAATACATTTTGATGATTGTTTCAACGAATTACTAATCAAATCACTCACAAGAATACCATTTACCGAGAAAATTAATTTCTTTATCGTACTTCATCATTACCTTACATTCATCACTATCCACTATACTGTGTCGAATTTGATATATTTCCCGTAACAATATTCTTACCTTGAGATAAAATATGGTTTGTTAGTTTAATAAAACTTGGTTAATTATATTCTGTTGTATCATATGTCTTTTTTTTCGTGTTCTCTACCTTCGGTAAATTTTTTAAAAATAAGATATATCTTGCGTAAGTTAACAGATAAAATAGACCATACAGCAAAGTTTCCATGACCATGATTTTATCATCAAGATGAAAAAATCCGAATAAGAGCTTTGAACGTTTTTGTAACAATTATTAAAACTGTAT